CAGCATTTGTTGCTTGCTGTTCTGTTAAATTTTGCTATTTTGACTTGGGTGAAATGATATCTCATAGTTGTTTTCATCTTTTGATTTCTTGACTACTGGTGGTGCCAAGAGTGTTGGGAGTTTATTTAACCTGATAGATTCGTAATATCGTTATTTCAATATGTAAAAGGTCATTAATAGGGGCGTATGTGCTTGTAAGAATGGTATAGTAGGACCTTGTGACCTAATGTCCCCAGGGGGAAGGGTATCACCAGCAACAACAGCTCAAGACTGATCATTCTTAAAACCAGGTCAGACTTGCCTTTTTTCTCACACATCGTTTCCCAATTCTGACACCAACCGCACCTCCCACAGCTCTCTTTACTCCCCTCCTGGGTTTGATAATTCCTTGCAGTGGACACGCAGAATTCACAAAAAAAAATACTCAGGAGCATAAGAGCAGGTTACAGTTCAGGATGGAGATCAACCAGGATGCCATTAGTTCTCTGGCTGGGACAGCTTATTGGCCGTGCCCACAGGAGGCCCTCTCCTTGGCCTTTTGACCTGTGGCACTTGAGCCTGCCTGGCCTCTGCCCGGCTTGTTATTGTTGTTATGTACCACTGAGTTGGAACCGACTTATTGCTGACCCTCCAGTGGGTTTTCAGAGGCAGTTATTCGCACGGGAGGAGATTGTCCCTTTTTCTCCCGTGGAGCAGCTGGTAGATTTGAATTATGTTCCTTTGAGTTGGCAATGCAGTTCCTCACCAGTAAGCCCCCAGAGCTCCTTCTGCTCTGCTGAGGCAAGTGTTGAAGAGTTCTTTCATAACAATAGCCTGGAGCCACCCTGTTCTGCCAATAAACCTTGGCCCAAAGACACTTGGCTCTCTAGGCCTGAGGGGTTAGTAAGCCTGTATCCATCCCTAAGTGCCCAGAAGCAACCTCGTTTACTGGGGACCTCTGGAAGAGAGAACTGGCTGGCTGTGAGTCAGGTGCCCTAGCACCACCAGGTGCCTGGAGGCACTCTTCTCAGCAAGCCTCTTGCCTTCAGGCACTTTTCTGTTGCCCTGTGAGTGGATGTGCCCAGCCTTGCCAGCAAGTGCCTGAGGCCCTCTGCGTGCCTGGAGACACTGAGCTTTCTCGCTCCACAGGAACCTTACTGCTCCGTGTGCTGCTGCTGCTGGCTCCAGAACAGCCTCCACTTTTCTCTACTGTGCTACAGTTCTCTGTCTCCTGGGTCTAGGAGGTGCTCAGCACAATGACCCCAGGTCTCAAAGATGTGCTCTGCTCTTGACTTATTTCTTGGTGGTGACAAAGTTCCCCCTTCTGACACTGGAATGACTGGCAAAAAGTCCCCTTACTAGGGTTCTACCTCCCGCTACCCTATACTGTGTACTTTATTTGCACTATTAACAAACTGTCCAGTCCCCTTGTGACATCACAAGCACCTCGTTTGCATAATCCCACCCAGTCTTCGTGAAGGACCCCCAAGGACTATTGTTGGAATGGTCGTACTAAGTAATTCACGGCACTGGAGCCGTGTGTGCTGAGTCTGAAATCTGTTGTGTGTTTCAGACCAGCCACATCTTGGGTCCATGCAGGAGTGTACCCACATGGCTAGGGGTAGCACAACTGTGACTCATTCGTATAGGTATTTTGTAGAAAAGAAACGTTTGGTCAACTTCCCAGTACAGAGACTGAGACTGCAAACCATTTTGTTTGTCAAGTAGTAAAATAGTAAATAAAAGCTATTGTCTGTGAGAGATCTCATCTGGTTACAGCTACAGTGCTGGTGAGAAGCACTGTTATTCCCCATTTGACAGGTGAGCCTGCTGAGGCCAGAGCCCATGCAGAGATACTGGGGTGTAGAGATATGGGGTGTGGCAAAGCCAAGGTCCTACTGGAGTTCACAGCCTCAGGGTCCACCCTGGGACCCCTTCCCCGTCTTTCTCCTTCAGTCACTCCAGTGAATTGACTTCGTTATTCTTTGCCCTCTTCCAGGCCAGGGAAGGAGAGGAAGGCCAGAGATGGACCTCCTGAGGCTCGCCCGCCTCTTCTCCAGCCCCTGCCCCGTGGGGCTGCCCGTCCTCCAGCGCCTCTGCACACACAGAGCCAGGTGGGCAGGCGGCAGAGAGGGGCCAGCCAGCCTGCGGAATGGGGGACTGGCTCGGCCGGCAGTGGCAGCGGCTTCCAGCAGTGCGCTTTCTCAGCTGCCCCCTGACACAGGGAACCAGAAGACCCTCAGCCCAGGCCTGAGCCCACCCAGCCCCACGTCTCCACTAGACCAACAGGAGACGGAGGAGGAGAGCTTCGGGAACCTCTCCAACAAATACTCCTCCCGGAAAGTGTTCCGGAAATCGACGGCCCAGTTCTATGACCTGCGGCTCAGGGAAGAGGGCGTGGAACAAGAGCTGGACCTCGAGCCACAGCCCAGACCATGGCGGGGCCCCAGAAACACCCCATACTGGTACTTCCTCCAGTGTAAGCGCCTCATCCGGGAGGGCCAGGTGAGGCTGCGGGCCGCTGAGCTCTGTGTGAGGGTGTGGGGCCACGCTCAAGGCCGCATGCGCTACTGTCCCGTGCCCTTGGGAGGGGTCCCACAGGAGTTGTGGGCACCAGGACCCTGCCTCCTCTTGGATATGGGGGACCCCCCCCCCAGGGTGAACAGGCAGGACTGAGATGCAGGGCAGGGTGGGATCAGAAGTGGCTAAGTTCACTTCCTGAGTGTTAGACCCCCGTTGCTGTTCTGGGGACACAGTCTTCAAGGAAGCATTTGAGTGAAAGGTGGCAGGGTCCTGGCAGGGAGGAGGGCTTGTCTGGGTGGGGTGCCTCTTCTCTCCCTCCTGATCATCAGCTCCTGTGCTGCAGAGCTGGGGGACCAGGAGGCAGAGGCCAGCATGGCCATGCAGGTCCCTCTGCGCCATCCTGAGCCCCTCCCTGTCCGTCCCCTCTCAAGCTGGCCGAGGCCCTGGACCTGTTCGAGAGGCAGATGCTCAAGGAGGAACGCCTGCAGCCGCTGGAATACAACTACACGGTGCTGATCGGGGGCTGCGGGCGGGCCGGCTACCTGAAGAAGGCCTTCAGGCTCTACAACGACGTGAGTGCAGGTGGCGGGCGGGGACTCAGGCTCAGGACCTGGCCTGGTGCTTCCACCGCCTGTCACACTGTCACAGTGCAATGAGAGGACGTGGGCAGTCCCCAGCTCCTCCTCCATGTCTGCTCCTGGTTAGGGGTGCTCTTCTCACCCCCTTATGAGCACCCACACGCACCTACTTCCAAAGCTAGGCCTTCAGGTAGCGCTTTGGTTTCCTTTGAAAGGTCATTTCTTTTATTGACCTTATAGTTTTTATTTTATTTTTTTTATTATTTATTTTTTTTATGTGTGTACCGTCAAATTGGATCTGACTGGTACAGGAGGCGTTTGTTCCTCCTTCTTCAGCAGAGCAGC